CAATGAAAATAATAAAAACAAAACTTAATACTTCATGAAAAAAATCTAATATAAAACATTAGTTTTTTTATGAATTCCAAATATCATGCTTGTTTCTTACATAAGTAATCATTACACTTATGTAAAATGGGCTATAATAAATATATTAGCAGAGACCCACAAAACATTTGCAGTCAGATTAGTATCTTTACTGCAACAGTACTTCTTTAAATACAGGATTTCTAGAATAACTGTCAGGTTTTCTAGGTGTCTGTGACTTGTTACCAATAAATGTCAATGATAAACAGCACACAATCCACTTGTTTTAAAATAATATATTAAAACAAGTTAAATGTATATATAATTGTTTGTTACACAGTTAATCACCACAGTTGTATCCAGAGCTTAAATAATTCTCTTTTACTTCAAAAGTCCACACAGTCTTGTTCAATTACTTTAGAACACAATTGACAAGATAAACCATTTTTCTCTACTCTGTTGTTACAATACAATCTGTGATAAAGTACCATTATACGTTCTTTACAGCTAAACTTACAAACACACAGTCTACATGTATTTGACCACAACTCTCACTGACTTACTTTGTCTTACTTAACTTGAACTAAAATTTGTACCCTTATTTATAGGTATCCCAACTGAGGCCTATAACTTTCTGCATATTATGATGTTATAATACTTGAGAAAAACTTAGAAGGTTCTAGTAACGGGATGCAATAATACACCAATTGGCAAATTACAACAACTAAATTACACAACATGTAATTCGTACAGTTACTAAACAAACCTGTGATAAAATATCGCTTCTAAAAATAACTAAATTTAACACTCAAGCTATACTTAAAACAGTCGCATGTATCTAACAATAATCCCCTCTTCAAGAAAAATATTCACAATATTTCTTATACTATCTACAGGGACTGTATTCAATTCATGCAGAAATTCTACTTGTACAGTCTGTACCAGCATTTACAGTTCCTTTGATGGCTTTGATGGGGAACCGTTAGTTCTGGAGGTATAATGCCCCCTCATGATCCTCACACTTCTTGCTTGATCAGGTGTCTCATTGCTTAGGCCTTCACCTTGACTAGAACCCTGGTCATGGTCTTGATCTTGTATTGCACAAGATCTGTCTTGCCTGGTTTATCTGTGAAGACATCTGTATACTGGCACAGAAGATCTTTCAACTTTTCTTCTGCCTGCCAGTCAGTTCTTCATTGATGTTGACATCTTTCTATGTCTCCTCTCCACCTGATGGTCTTAGGTCTAATAGATCTTCATCTTCTATGACAAAATCACTGTGCTTCAATAGCTGCACCAGTTATGCCTTCTTCCCTCTCAAAGTGCTTCTTCAACAGACTGCCGTGGTAGATCTTGGTCTTCCTATCCACTGTCTGTCTGACCTTGAAATGTTGATCCTTGGCTTTCTTGTCATAAAAGTACTTCTGACTGTCTTGAGCTGCATACAAACTTTCTTGAGCAAATTGACAAGTCTCCTCCAGTTGGTTTCTGATGTCTAACATGTACTGGTATGTGTTCTTTCCATATCTGCATCATACCTCATTTGGTTTTTCTGTACAATAACTTCAAGGGTGAAAATCCTGTACTCACTTGTGGGACTTCTCGGTAAGCAAATAATATTGCCTGCAAGTACCTGTCATGTGGTCTTTCCTAGCACATCTTCTTCAGCATGCTCTTTAAGACTGCTAACTCTCTCAAAAAATCCATTACATCTGGAGTTGTACAGGGTGGTAAAGAGCTGTCTAGTGTGGATGAGTCTGCACACTCTTGCATCAGTTCTGAGGTAAACTGGGTCCCTCTGTCATTCAGGACTCCTTCCAGAAAGTTCACTCTGCAGAACACTTCCAGGAGGATTTCTGCTACTCTCTATCTCTATCTTCAGAAATACTATGACTTCTGCGTAATGTGTCGCATAGTCAACTGCTGTCAGCATGTTCTGGTCACTCTTGTTGGATACAGGTGCTAGTGGTTCAATCAAATCCACAACTACTCTACTGAATGGCTCTTTTATGAGAGGTATCTCACCCACTGGCACCTTGGATACTCTCCCTTCAGGTATTGTCCTTTGGCAGATGTCACATGACCTGCAGAATCTGGTCACAATTCCAATGACTCCCGACTAATGGAAGTTGCTGGTGATTCTGTCTACCACCATCTTCGCTCATAGGTGTTCTCCCACGACTGACTCGTGTGTCAACTTCGTCACTGGTATTCCCTTTTTACTATGATCTGTTTAACTTCCCACTAGAACTGCCTTGATAGATCTGGTACAGCACACTCTTCTGGTTCTATATTCTGTAAGTCCTTTTGGTCTTGTGGAAGACTTTCTCCTTAGCACTGTCCCAAAGTTTCTGCAGTGAAGGATCTTTCTTCTGTGCTTCTTTCAGTTCCTGTAGACCTACATTTGGTACATCACCTTTTGAAACTTGCAGGAACTTGATGTCTTGCTCAATTTTCTTTTCCTGAGCTCTTGTGGTAACTGCAGGTGTCTCATTCTTTCTGTCTGATTCCTTCAAACTTCTACTGTCTGCTATATTGCCAATAACCAGTCCTAGATGTGTGCCTTCATACACACAGTCTCAAGGTTTCCCACCTAGTATGAAGTGTCCACCTATATTCTTGCTGTGGGAAACTTTCTGCACACACAGATGTACCTTGCACATCTTCTGGTTATAAGATACTAGACTGGTTCTCACTGCTGCACCCAGTGTCTTGTAGGACTTTCACTTTCTTATCTCTGACATAACCCTTATCTACTGGCATGTTGTAATTTCTTGGCACCTCTTGATGTTTGTGATATGCTTCAATCACCACTGGCACTGTTTAATCCTGGTGATAGCACTTCCTTCTTGTGGTGAAGCTGACGAGTTGTCTCTTCTGTTATTTTCTGGCAGCAGCACTCATGGTGACAATCACCTTCTCTTGTTTCTTTGCAGGTACCTTCAGCTGCTTTATGTTGAGATTTCTGCTGTTGCTTGTTGGTGACAGACTTGCACTCACTCACAATATGCCCCATTTTGTAAGAAGCATCTCTTCTCCCTTTTGTCTGTTAATCTTTTGTACCTTTGGTGGCATCCTGCTTCTTTTCAGCCACAATTGGGTTTGACTTCAAAAGGTTATTCTTGGACTTGCCAGTTATATTCCCTCCATGTGCTTCCATAATCTGTTCTGCCAGCTTGATCATCTCAAACATGTCTTTTGGTGCTCTCTATTTTAGGAACAGTACCATGTCGGTAGAACACGTGATCATGAAATGTTTACATATTAGTAGATCTGCCAGTCCCTCAAAACTATCTTCACACTTGGCCATGTCAGTCCATCTTGTAAAGTATTGCCATAAATGTGCCACAAACTTAAATACAGTTTCTCCAGCAACAGTTTCTTCCCTGAACTTCTAGTGAAAACCTTCCTCAGTAAGTTCATAGCATTTCACGAAGGCCACTTTTAACTTGTCATAGTCCATGGCATCTTCTGACCTCATGCCCACATACACTTGTAGGCCTTTTCCTGTGAGAAGGGGGCTGAGACAGACTGCTCAGTGACCTGTGTCCCAGTTCTGACTTTGGACAAATTTTCATACCTCTCCAGGAAAACATTCATGTCATCTTTCTGTTCATCAAGTTTCAGCAACTTGAGTTAGCTGGCCCTGATCCCATTGTTATTCCTGAGTCCTTCATTTTTCTGTTTGGTGAGCTTGGCAATCTCAATTTATGCTCTTATTTTCTCTCTCTCTATTTCCAGTCTTTCCTTTTCTTCTTTGTCTTCTCGTGCTTATTCTGTCTTTTGCTTTCTTCCTCTCTTCTTCCTCCAATTCTTGTTTATGTTTAACAAACTCTCCTAGATCATCATCTTTAAGCCCAAGTCACTCACCTCTCTCTCTATCCAATTATCAAAGTCAGTCAACATGGTTATATAGTGTGGTTGTGACCTCTACATTATTTTCTCCATCACTACAGCTGTACAAATATAGGCTTATTTGTTGTTTGTTTATGTCTCTTCTACTGCCGTTTACCCTTGCAGATCCTGGCTGGCTCACCAGTGCCAAGTTCTGTTGGTATGTGTGGACAGGATTCTTTACAATAAGTGTCTGTGACTTGTTGACAATAGATTTCAATGATAAACAAACAGCAAACAATCCACTTGTTTTAGAAAAATATTTGTTACAATATAATCTGCAATAATTGCACTTAAAAAAAGTGCTACTATACACTCTTTATGATTAAACTTAGAAACACACAGTTTAGAGCTATTTGGCTGTATCTCTCACTAACTTACTTTGTCTTACTTAATTTGAACTACATTTTGTACCCATATTTATAGATGAACCAACTGAGGCCTAGAACTTTCTGCATACCATGAGATATTATGATGTAATAATACTTAGAAAACTTGCATTATACTTAAATTAAAACAATCGCATATATCTAAAAATAATAAAAAATAATTCTAATCACAGACATCAAAATCTCTAAGTTCCCTTGTCTTAGGCCTAATATTAGTTAAGCCTGTATTAAGTATGGACTATATTTGATAAAAAGATAAACTAACACTATAACTTATGTACATTTTTTGCTTTAGTTTAGTTAGGGCTAAACTTTACTTGCTTAATACTATCAATAAATTTATAATGTTATTCTACAACCTAACATTAGACTTTTTAAAAACATTGATAAGCTATCAATATGTTGTTGTACAAAATGTCTACTAAAATACATTTACATTCATTTTTTCTTTACATTTGTTGAAATGAATTGCACACACTCATGCATTTGGATAGTAATGTGCATGAGCATTTTCAGGACAGACAAAAACTAAGTGTTATTGTAATAGATAATTGAAGTTAGATCTAGTTATTATTATGATAGTACACTGTCTAGTTGTAGCAAAAACTTAAAAATTCATTTCAATACAACAAAAATTAAGATGAAAATGCCATAATATTGCAATCTCTGTTTAACAATCCTTACAATAAAACGTTTTACCTGTTTTTCTGTCTCTCTGTCTTTCAAGGATAGCTTCAACTTCTGTATCTCTCCTTGAAGTGACTGGAGAGTTTTTTCATAGAATGTTGCACGGGAACCTGCCTTGTCAAAGGCTTTCAGAAAAGAACGCTTTTCCTTCTGGTGCTCTACTTCCATTTGTTTCATCCGAGCCAATTTCTCCTATAGGGATAATCAACTATCAGCACTTTAAACATGATCTCTTTCTACACAACATGTATAGATATACCTTATAATGCACAGAGAAAAATGACATCTAAACAGTTATTTCAGCTTGCCACTAGGACAAGTAAACTTGCACTTGATTGGTTACTGAACATACATGACATGGGGAGATATGGAGAATAATGGACAGAAGCTTTGAGCTCTGAAACAAAGAGATATTTGTAGTTGTAGGTTATACCATTTTTCTGGAGAAGATAAGAATTATTTCAATATATTTAAAGTCTAAATTGTTATTTAAGTTTATTTATTTAGTTTAGTTAGGATTTGACACTTTTAGGTTTTATTACTACAGATACAACTAAGCATAAAGTTATGACATTAGGCTTAATACTGTATCATTAGGCAATTTTCCTTAGTTATTAAATAAATTATAGTATTGGGTTAAAAATAAATAAAGATGTTAAATATTAGACTAGTGTTAGCTTAGCAAGAAATATAATTTGTTTAACTTAAAATATTAAATTACTCTTTCCATTACTATTTGATAACTATTGAGAATTTAATACATTAGTAAATTGTTTAAATTAGCAATTAGTTACATGTAACTAGAAAGATGGTGTACGACCTAGCTGTGGCACTGACATTGATGATTAACAGTATAAGCACTTGTTAATAGATGATTCTGTTTTACATTTATTTAAAATTTAATATTATTAAATCTTTAGTTTAAATTGACAAGAGTAATGTGACTTTAGCTAAGTTATTATTAAATTATAAAACAGGCTAAATAAATTGTATTATTACATAAATATACTTTAAGACTAATTATTTGTCACTCTCATTTTAAAGATAAACTTAATTACTTAGTGAGAAATTAAGGTAATGATAAAATAGCATAATATATTTAACTCTAAAGTAGACTTAAGAGTGTTGTTAACAGGTTACCTGTATTTAGTGTTGATCATTTAATCTCAGGCTACAATGGTTCGTGGTAGTGTAAATGTTAAGCGCTTACAGTTTGTAAGGAGCAACAGGTGCAAGGAATGGGATGTATTTGGGAATGTGGGGTTGACATGCATGTTTAAAGAAGCTAGTAGTGAAGTTGTACAATTTATATATAGAGTTTGTAAGTTAAGGGAGAAACTGAAAGTTGTTTTAACTCTGGTAGAGGCTATGGATAAAGAGAAAGATAAACTTCAGGAGCCACAACTGGATTTAAAGAGAAAATTAAGATTTTTCATTCAAAGGATACAGTGACTAATAACAACTTTCAGGTAGTTAAAAACACACAGATATCATTTTCTTGGCATTTGCGTATAATGTTAAAATAATAAATAAGAAACACAACATTAAATCCGATACACAATTAAAAACATTTTAAATTCAGGTCAGTATATGGCCTCTGAGAGTTATGGAGAAATGTAAACTTACACACAGGTCACATGACCTATCTAAGAAGGAATAAATATGAAATATGACACATTTTGCACATTCACTCCCGATGATGATGTGGTAAATGTTGAAATATGTGGAGTCCACATCTTAGAAACTACTGATTGGCCTGAATTTAAAATGTTTGTAATTGTGTATTGATTTTAACATTGTGCATTTCTCATTAATTGGATAAAAAAAAATTACTAATAGGGTTAGTAGAAGTAGTGGATTTAATTATAATGAACAGGTTCTACTAATTAACAGATTTCACCATTTAGCTTGTGAAAATGATGAACTTGAAGAGAGAAGGATACCAAAAGACAGATAGGAATGGTAGTTTTAACTAGAAGAAAGATAATTGTTTAACTTTTAATATTAAATTACTTTTTCTATTACTATTTGATAACTGTTGAGAATTTAACACATTAGTAAATTGTTTAAATTAGCATTTAGTTGCATGTAACTAGAAACATTGTGATGTTATAGCTGTGGGGCAAAAAAAAAGAAGACGGAGGAGCTTATTGGTCTAGGAGATACTTTGGTATAGCAAGTAGACAGGATAGTCTGTCAGACAAATAGGGAGAGAAAAAATTAGATTATGCTATCCAAAGCAAGGTTGAGGATATAAATAACAGTGCAAGTGATACAGTAGAGGGTGCTAGCAGTGATACAGTATTTGTCATGCACATAAGGAATAATGATGTTGGGAAGAGTAGGTCAGAGAAGCTAATTGTTAAGTGCAATGCATTAATAAAGGCCTTCAAAGAAAAGGGCCATAATAATTTAATTCTATAAGGGATACTGCTAAGACTTAAATGTGGGGATGAAATTAAAAGTAGGTCACTGTGGCTGGATACTAGGTTTAGGTTAACATGTAAGATAGAGCAGGTTGGCCAGTTGGACTTGTAGGATCAGTTTAGTGGCAAAAAGAAGCTTTTGAGAATGCATGGTTTACCTTTAAATACATTAGGGACTGGCTTGTTTGCAAAGACTATTAACTCAACTCTAAGGGCAACAATAAACTAGAATTAGACACTGTAGAGGGCAATAATAATATAAAAAAAAAGATGTAGAGAGGAGATGTAATGCTAGAAGTATAAGAAATAAAATGGATGACCTTAGAACATCAGTCAGAACAGAGGATTTTGACATAATGGGAGTAATTGAAACCTGGCTAAATGTAGACAGTTTTCATGACAAGAATTTCTTTGAATTACAAGGTTAAAGGTTGTTTAATAGTGATAGAGTACTAAAAAAAAGGAAGTGGCATTATATGTAATATGTCAGTTACAGCCAGGAGTGTCACTAGATATATAAAAGCCTTGGAGCTCAGCCCCCCCCCCCCAAGAATATTTGGGTATTTAGATTTTCTATTCTGATTTTACAAGACACCCATTGGGGATAGAGGGCACTGTTAAGTAGAATCGAGCCAGGCATAGGCCCCGTGTGCCAGTGTCTAGTGATGCCTCTAGCTACAGCTTGTTCATGTTAAGGATATCAAAGCTATCAGGCCAGGCATGGGCCCCATGTGCCAGTGTCTAGTAATGTCTCTAGCTACAGCTGTTCATGTTGAGGATATCAAAGCTAACAGCAATAATGTTGAATCTGTTTGGGTTTCTATTAGTGGTTATGAGGGGAGAAGGCTTTTTGTTAGAATATGTTACAGACCACCAGATGAAATTGACAAACATTAATGAGAAACTCTACAGTGAGATAAAGAATTCAACTGCTAATGAGGTTATAATTTTAGGTACATAGATTGGAAAATATTAGAGTCAAATCATGATGAATGGAGATAGGTTTTAGAAACTGTTCAGGATGGTTTTCTTCAACAATTTGTTGGGGAACCTGTTAGGAACAATGCCATTTAGATTTATTCTTAACTTCTAATAAAGAATATTTGGGTACATTTAGATTTAACATTTTGCTGCAAATGGAGATACAGAATAATGAGATTTTGGTTCCAAATTTCAAAAAGAAAATTTTGAAGAGAATAGACAAGAATTATCTGTTGTGAAATGGGTAACTAAATAAGCTGGAGATACAAATCAAATATGGAAAAATTAAAAAATTCTTCAAGATAGGCATATTCCTTATGGACAAAAAAAGGTGGCTACAAGTAAAAAACAGGCTGGCTCACAAAGGGTATACTACAGGTGTGTGGATTCCACATAACCCATACCCCCCAAAAAACTATTAAGTAATTATGCTGTAACTTTTTAAAATGTACAAGTATCTTCACAAAATTTTGCAGATTATCAGTAAATATTACAAAGCTTTGAACAGAAAATATCTGATTTTATAATTAAGTTTAAAGATTTTTTAAGTAATGATTTGGTCGTACGTTTTTCTTTTTGAATGTTGACTAACCAATATACAAAGTAATTTTGGTTTTAAGATTAAAAATACTTTTATGCATCAGAAAATTGTCAAATTTCATATGCAAAATCTTTATAACTTCCTAATATACTCCAGATAATTAGCAGATTTTTTTTAAAAAAAGAACTATATTTTATGTGATATTTTCACATAATATATAATAAAACATAAGAGAGAACTATCAACAAATTCTGAAAGTAAAGATGTGACAGGTGGGTGTGGCAGGAGGGGTCTGATTTTCTATTCAATAGCTCTGTAACCAAACAAAATTACTGGCTTTAAAAATTATGGTTTGTCTGAGTAATAAGGATTTTATAGAGTAGTTTATGTTTAATTTTGTACTTTTTGGAGGGGAGGTGGATGAAATAGGGATGATGACATGCTAAGAGAAAATGTGTCACATGGGTCACACTAGTGGAAATTCGGGATTTTTTAAAATATTGCCTTGTGGAATTAAGAACTTAAAACTTGTATACTATTAAAATATGGATTATTAGCTAAGTTTTTATGTTATTCTAATTAGTATAACATAAACAAAAAGTATTTTAATAAAATTGTGAATGCTAGACACTAAAACCTTGTGTCATGCACAGTAACGAATACCCAGGGTGATAGGGTTAACATTTACTTTTAAATTAAAAAATTGACTAATGTATTATATTAAAATTTGAATTATAATCTACAATTTTATACCAAACTTATTGGCATACATTAATAAAAGAGTAGTTCAATAAAATTGTGATGACATGCCCTCTGACCCCTACCCATAGCGAAAGGGATAATGGATAAAATTAAAGAAAAGCATTATAAATTTAATAAGTTTAAATTGACTGCAATGTCAGGAGATTTGACAGATTATACAAAATCAAGAGAGTTGGTCAAATGAAAAGTGTTTTGAGAAAGTGCTACATAAAAGGCTTGTTAAAACGTTAACTCTGAAAGTGTGGGAGGATAGATTGGTTCATTGGATAGAAAACTGGCTAGATGGAAGAAAGCAGAGGTTTGTCACAAATGGAGTTCAGTCAGACTGGATTAATGCCCTAGTGAGGTATCTCAAGGATCAGTGTTAGGACCTTCGCTCTTCCTGATTTACACCAACAGAAGAAGGAACAGTCAATAGATTATCTAAATTTGCTGATGATATTAAAGTTTTAGGTGTTGCTTACAGTAAGGAGGATGTTACTGCTTTATAAAAGGATTTGGGTTATTTGGTGAGTTAGGTGAATAAATAGCAGATGATTTTTGATTATAATAAATGCAAATAATGCATGTGGGATATCACAATTTGAATTATGAGTATAATTTTGATGGGCATAACCTTAATAATGTTATGGAAGAAAAGATCTTGGTAATCTGGTTTATCAGTTTCTTAAGCCATCCAAGCTATGTGCTGTTGCTAGTGGCAGGGCAAATAAGATTTTAGGTTGCATCTACAGAAGTATTGAAAACAAGTCGAAAGAGATTTTAATGTCATTGTGTAGGTCATGGGTTAGACCAGGTTTAGAGTACTGACTTCAGTCTTGAGCTCCTTAACTTAGACAGGACACTGAATTGTTGGAGAGGGTTCAGAGAAGGGCTAATGGGATGCCAACTGGGATAGAAAGATATAATAACTTTAAAGAGAATCTAATTAGAATTCTCGTATATAGAGCTCATAAATTATGTAGTAATGTTGAACTGTTTAAAAATGAAGTGGAAAAACATAAAAAATTACTTCCCAATAAAAGTTTTATCACGAGTTATCAACAATTATATTAATAAAGAAAGAGAAAGATAATGTTCCAAAAAAGATTGTGTATATGACACTACCATTTACTGGTACACATGCTTTGAAAATCAAGAAAAATATAAAGAACTTTCTGTGTAATGTGTACCCACTAGTTGAACTACATGTGGTACTTAAAGCAGTATACAGAATAAGGAACTACTTTGTATTCAAAGAATAAATTTGCAAAGCAAACCAATCACATGTCATCTACAGATATCAGTGCTCTGTTTCTAATTGTGCATATATAGAGACGACGGTGAGGAGTGTGAGTTAGGCAGATACCAAACAGGAGCCAGTTGTCCATACAATGATGAGAACAGAGTCCCAATTAATGTAGATGTCAAACAAAGGAGATATGGGAATGGGAAGACATGCATCTGCTATGTCGAACTTGGTCATCCACAGACCAGGAGAGAAAACCCAACAAAGAGCCAAAAACGACTCCATGGTGAAACAAGGAGGATCTAGAAATTGAGTGAGACAGGAGAGGTCAATGATTGGTCTCCAATACCCAGCTGATTGGGAAACACAGGCTCTATGGCATGTTTGTGAAGAAGGGTGCTCACTGCCTCAGACAGATAAGTACAATAGACCAGATCCCTTGGAGGAGGGAAAAGGATGGAAGACAAGGAAAGAGGAGGTGGCAAACAGAATTATAGAGAGAGACCCTCTGACAAAACCCATAGAACTCACAGATTGGCAGTGAAGGGCTTCCAGATGTTAACAAAACATTGGAGCCTGGCACCCACAGGACCTGACCCCACTTTGTAGTCACCAATACTATTGATGATGTTCGTGATGAGAACGAGTAAAACAAAAATAATGTCAAGATGCGAGTGGAGAATAAAGCATGGAAGGAAGAGGACTGGAAACAACAGTAGGATCAGGAGATGTGGAGATGAAATTTTGTGATAAATGATAAGCAAGGGACAAGAAGGAATTATGCAACTTGGCCACATCAATAGAACTTCAAAGAATCAAATTAGTTTGGCAGTTGTGAAATACAAATAACATAATGTACAGAGAACCAATAGTAAGTGAAAAACATGTCTGATTCGTAGTGTGCCAATTGAGAAATTGAGGTGCACATAGAATAATACAGAGGGAGACAACTCCTCTTGGAAGGTGTATCGTCCTCCTATTGGTGGAGAGTTGTTGCCCACTCTATGCATGCTAAATGAGCAGCTTGAACTTAACAGGTATAAAGGTTAGTGCATCAAGAGAAAAAATTTATTTTCAATGCATTAAAGGGCAGTAGAAGATCAAGAAAATCTGTTATGTGAAAAGAGGTATGTATCATATCAGAACAAAGAACTTTTCAAAGAATTGAACACCTTTTGTATCAATACAACCTCTATATATTTCAACGTGGTTTTCAATCTGTAAATTTCTTTTGTACTAATATATATACTAACATATAAACAGTATTTAAATTTAAACATTTTAAATTATTTTTGAAGTGTTTATGCTGAAAATGTAACCAGGAAAATTATGAAATGTCCATGTTCTTTATCCTATTAACAATATTATGATTATAAATTTCTTTCAAATCAGCACATTTCCCATTTTATGAGTTATATTTTCTAGAGATCGTTTCTCATGAAACTGAGATAAATACAATGACATGGTTTATCATCAATATAAATGGTAGCAACAAGGTTATATTTAACACTTTTCCAGGATGTCCCAGTAAAAATACTGAAAAAACCTGTTTACAAAATTCCACGACTTTCCAGAATGTTCATGACCTGTACAAACTCTGGTTATTTATGTTCATAAAGTCCACATCCATCTATCTGAAGTAAAGTAGTGTAATTCAAAATATACCCATTTTTCATTCTACATCTGTAGCTCAGTGCACTGTGATCATTGAAATTCAGTATTCACAGCTGTAATACGTAGCTTATGTGCTGGAAACTGCCTGTTAAATCTAGTAACACAGTTAACTGTATTGAAATGGATGATGGTATGTGCTTTTTTTCATGTTACAATGTTTGCATGAAGAAAAAAGTGAATAATTTTTGTCAGCTGGTCCAAATATTCCAAATTACCTTACTGACTGTTTTTTTATAATCCCTTAACAGTAGTGAACAATAGGATCGACAAGTAAGTTTAATGGAGAAAGGCCACACAATCACAGTTGTTTTGGTAAGAGGATATAAGATTAGTGTACAATATCCATGTTTGTTACAAAACTATTAATAAGGTGTATATGAACTAAAAAGATGTACCTGAAAGAGTTGTTTATCATTCTGAGTTGATAACAATTCTTGTTCTAAAACCCCAATCTTCTCTGACAGGTTTCTTACCTGAAAGAGTTGTTTATCATTCTGAGTTGTTAACAATTCTTGTTCTAAAACCCCAATCTTCTCTGACAGGTTTCTTACCTGAAAGAGTTGTTTATCATTCTGAGTTGATAACAATTCTTGTTCTAAAACCCCAATCTTCTCTGACAGGTTTCTTACCTGAAAGAGTTGTTTATCATTCTGAGTTGATAACAATTCTTGTTCTAAAACCCCAATCTTCTCTGACAGGTTTTTCTGCTCCTTTTCAAGTCTCTGAATTGTTTCTTCTTGATGTAAAAGAGTAGACTGGGTGGTAGACAACTGTTGATGAACTCCTTGTTTTTCTTAAAATAAACATTTTCAGATGAGAAAGAAGGAAATTAATTAACATATATGATAGAAAACTTTAAATAATTGCAGTTGACAAAGAAGCATCACATCTGTAATGGAAATATATGTATACAAGAATTTTTTTAAAGTAAAAAAAATATCTAAAAGCATATAAATCTGTAATAATCAAATTGTTCTAACTTATAAGCTAAAACAATTTATAGAACCTGACAATGTATTTCCAACAGGCATTTTACACCCTCTCTCATTCAGTGCTGCCCTCTATATACAAAACATTTTTTCGCATGCTACAAGGCTTGCTCTCCCACATACCTCACAATCACCATAGTTCAACTGCAACTCACATGTAAATCATCATGCAACAACCCTCCACTAATAGGAGTGTGAAACACTCAATTGACATACGTGACTCCCTCTATCTGATTCTACTGAACTATCACTTCAAGTTTAGGCAGAAAAAGAAAAACTGGTTGTCATTGGGGAGGAATGGTGGGAAGTGGGGAGGAGATAAATACCTATTAGAAATACAATTTCAGTATAGGCAAGTTATAGCTTCCTATACAGTACATTATCTCCACTCACATATATAGCTAGAATCCCACATTGAAAACATGGAGGGATAGAAATAAGCATCCTTCAAAAGCAACTAAAGAACACCCCAGAATTGTGATCCACATAGTAAAGAATCATATGTGGGAAACCACACCACTTCTATACCAGGTATACTCTGCACCCAGTGTAGAAGAGGTCTTGCGTACATGGGTGAAAAAAGTGAGGAGCACAACTAAAAGGGAGAGAAAAAAATGGTTGGATTGGAATCCGAACCATAGTATATCATAATCTCAATTCTACCAAAGAAAGACTGTAGAAGAAATATCTATACACAGCAGTGTGGGTGAAAGCTAAAATTGATGTGCTCCAAGGTGTAGAGTGACTAGGGCATGACAGAGTTTTATATGGCAGGTTAACTCCAGTCCAAAACCAATTGGTAGTGGGAATATACCCTCTAATCTGTGGTAAGAGAATGGTCCACACCATCCTCACTTCAAGTTGAGTAGAACAGAAGTATCTATTGTGCAAAGCAATCTACAAATTGGCCACATGTGCACAAATCCAGAACTATCCATACATCCAGGAACCCAACATTCAAATAACAGAAGTAAGAGATGTACCCATGTGGAAGGTCCCATCAGACTCAAATTCAATCAGACTGGCACATATAATTAAAATGATTCACAAGTCATGCACATGAGCAGCTCGTAATGTAATTCATTAGAATAACATGAGTATAATGGCACAGATAGCAGGTAGGCAAGGTTCAAAGGGCAATAAACCAAAAAATTTAATTATAAATATATGTATACTGTTACAAACTTAAGAGCTACTTAGGATAAACAAATGTAGTTTCATGTTACAAGTTGAAGTCATACTAGAAAGAAAAAGAGCGTAACTTAGGTTTATTTATCTTTTTTTTTTTGGTGGTCACGAGGTTGGTTAATTGACCTATCCTGTTTTGAGATAGAGTAGAGAAAATAACATATAAACTATAAAGTTTTACTGAAACAAAAACGTTTCAAATGCATTTAGGAGGTTTTGGGGATTACACAAAGGAAATTTGAAATTTTTATTAGGAGGAAAAGTATTTTTACTTTTAACATGAAAATTACTTTGCATATGAACTATTCAAAACAAATACTCAATATATTAATGGACAAATCTTGATTTTATTTTATTAAAAACACTTTTGTATGTGAAAGACTTATAATATGAACTGAAAGACTTCCAAATTTTGTGAAGATATACACACTATACTGAAAGTTAGAAATATTAAATCTATAAAGACTTTAATCGAGTACATAAAGGTCACGTAGTCAGTCAAATTGACCAAGCCCGTGTTGAAAGAGTTAATACCATAACACATAACTAATGTTTACCTATATGATGATCAATAACAACAGAAGTGCACAGAATGCCAATTCGTCTCAACAGATTTTCTGTAACATTTTAAAATGCCTTTAAATTACAGTATTTCTAATGAGGTGAGTTATTAAAAACCTCAGGCTGAATATCTGTAAATAGGTTCACTGGTGAACCTAGGTTACAGGAACTTCCCAGTAATAGAAAGCATGAAAAGTCACAGTAAAATTAAGAGCACAAAACTTCATGATGCTCAAGGTATTGAACAACAATAAAAGAGAAGTAAATGATTCCTTTAATCACTGAGCAAAAGTATAAGTAATATGTTCCAAAGGATAAAAACTTTGACATTAGACATCTATCATGATAAGAAAAAACAACAGGATAGATTAAAAGCATATAAATCTTGATGCTATGAGTTTCAATGAAAAGTGATCAACGTAATTGATTCCTGATAGAGGTGAATATCACTGGCCAGTGAAGAGAAGTCTCTCATGAACTATAAATTAGTTCATAAATTATATCATGAGATGACAGAGGAAATAAAAGGGGTATATTCTTTGATAAATTAAAAGCTTAAAAGTAAGCCAAACAGTAAATATGAGGATAACCAAATGGCTAAAAATTTGAGGAGAAAAAGGCACATGGAATCCTGCTGGTTTAAAGCAGTTTCAGACTTGTAATAACTATTCCTTCACATATATGCAACTACATACACTTAATCCTGAGGTCTACTCACTATAATCAGGTAGGTGGTAGCACTGCCTAGGTAGGGATGGCTCAGATTGTTCATTGAAATGGTATTTTAAATATCTCCTCAACAGTTCATCAGAACTTTACAATACTATGTAATGACTGAGTCAAAAGTTCAGTGAATCTCTGTAAATATCATAGTAAAAAGTTATAATTTCCTGTTCTTCTTTCTTCTGCTTCTTTTTTATTACATGATAACTCAAAAACCAAAACAATGGTGTCAACCAGTTTTACTGAGATGGCATAGTTTCAAATGGAATATCTGCTTTTAGAACTTGGTTAAAAATAAAACCTTCCTATGTCTATTGAAATACTGCATTAAAAAAACAAGTAAAGAAAACACTTTTACAAAAAAAGAAGTAAATGTAGGGATGGTTAATATCAATCATTCAAAAACAATGTAAACAAGATAGTAGGGATGGCATTTGC